AAAGAAATGGCATCCAAATTGGAAAGGAAGAAGTAAAACTGTCATGATACTATATATAGAGAACCCTAAAGATTCCATCAAAAAACTACTAGACCTAATAAATGAATCCAGTGAAAAAGTAGGAAACAACCAGCCAGTGTGGCTCAGTTGTTGAGCATTGACCTATGAGCCAGGAGGTCATGGTTCAATTCATGGTCAGGGCACATGCCCAGATGTGGGCTCGATCCCAAGTAGGGTGTGTGCAGGAGGCAGCCAATCCATGATTCTCTCTCATCATTGACGTTTCTATCTCTCTCTCCCTCTCTGAAATCAATTAAAAATATATTTTTATAGAAAGCAGAATATAAAATAAAATTATGAAATCAGTTGCATTTTTATACACCAATAATGAACTATAAGGAAGGGATATTGAAAAAAATCCCATTTACAGTTGCATCAAAAAAATATAAGGTGAGAAACCAAGATGGCGGCATAGGTAAACACCAGAAATTGCTGCCTCCCACAACAACTTCAAAAATACAACGAAAAGACAAAACAGACATCATCCAGAACTACAGGAAGGCTGGCTGAGTGGAAATTCTACAACTAGAAGGAAAGAGAAAAGCACACTGAGACTCAGAGGAGGCGCAGAAGTAAAGTGCAGGGCTGGTACCTGAGGACGCGGCTGTCTTTTTGAATTGGGAGGGAATCACAAGCTCCTAACTGCTCTAAACTCCGGTTCCGGGAAGTCTCTGGGGACCTAGGGCTCATATGGGGAGAAACTGGAATGTCTGGCAGCAGGCAGAAGGTGGAACTTGAGGGCAGCTTTCCCTCAGAGGTGCTTGCAGCAATTACCGGGACACTGAGACTTGCAGCCCCTTAGGGCAGGGCTGAAGATCAACCATACCTGCTTGCTCCGCCCTTTGATTCCCTGAGACCCTGCCCCACCCAGGCTGCAGCAGAGGCTTTTGCATATGAATGCCCTGGCCTTTTGCAACCTGAAAATTACCTAACAAATTGCAACTGGGCCAGACAGACCTAGAACTTCCAAGAGAAGGCCCAAGGCCCTACAGCAGCTTGCATTGCTTCACAGCTGGACCTCACCTGGGCACCTCTAAACCCAAAAAAAGGAAGGGGAATCTGCAGATCTCTTCGTAGCTCCTGCTGGGTAACCTTAGGCAGAGGCTAAATTAGCACCTCCTTAGATCCAAGATCCAGTGTACCCAGTGGTCAGAGTGGGACCATCCAGATTACAACTCATCATATCCATAAGGGACCCACTCAGGGGGCAGACTCAGTGAGCACCAAAGCCTCACGAAGCAAGTTTTGCCCCAGAAGGGTGTCTCCAGCACAGAAGTTCTCCCACTGGCGGGGCCAGGGGGGTG